TCATAGCATAGCCTTTAATGTGAAGTTGTTGGACACTAATATGTGTCCCTCTCTAAGGCACTGGACTATATTAACTTAAGATGTCATGGACACAGACATAAAACAAATTAATTTACTTATAGAGAGAATGGATAAAACTAAGCTGTTAGATCTAGAAAGAGTTTAAAAAACTAACAAAAAAAAATCCCATTGTAATGGTAAATGGACTGTACTTGTATAGTGCCTTTCTACCCAACCAAGATACTCAAAGTGCTCTCATTTACCCATTCACACAGCACTCTATTAGGTCTCTACAAAGCTAACATGTACAATCATCTATGGAGACTAATCAGTGCCAATCACATTCATACACTGATGGGACACACATCAACATTGGGTTGAAGTATTTTGCCCAAGGACACAACAACTGAGATAGCAGGATGGGCGATTGAGCCGGTGACCTTCTGGTTCCAGGACGACTCCCCTAACCACTCTGTCACAGCTGCCCAAATCGTCATTTATTCAGTCAATTGATGAATTCTTTGTAATTCCTTAAAAATCCATACCCTTTAATTCGATAGATAAGCACTTTTTTACTTTGGATTTGTAGGAATAATTAAAGAAAAGTTGATCTCTAAAGTGACACAGGTAAAAAATAGGTCTTTATAAAGAGAAACCCACAATAAAGCTCAAAATCTATGCTCAACAATAAAATACAGACATACTGAGTTGTAAAAGCAAGAGCTGAGAAACTCTGCCTCAAATCTCACCAGAAAGATGTTATATTATTGCATTCTTACCTGCTAATAAAGCCAATAAAGCCCATATAAATCACACCAGGACTCCTGAACTGTCACTGTCAGGCCAGTGGGGAAGCAACAAAGGTCACGTTTGTGCAGGTTCTCTGCAGTAAAACAGTGATAGACCCTATTTTAGCTCAGTAAAATTACTTCTGTTATACGAGAATCAGGTATGAATCACCTCTTGCTCATCAGTCTGTTTATTCAAGTGCTGCTGAAGAGTGAAAAAATCAGTGCTTCATACTCTTATACATTTTAGTATTTGTAGTTTTACGTTAAAGTGGTCTTCTTGTGTTTGAAATGTATTCAACCTTTGGATGGTAGTGTTCCTGTGACTTAAGCGTAAACTAAAAGGCATGCACCTTCAGAATGAAACTTTCCATTAACTCTGAATACATTTACTCAGAAGATGCTTGTGTTACAAAATGCATGCTTGTCCCACTTCTGCGTTGTTGTTTGGGTGGCTTAAAGGGATGCAGAAAAACTTGTACTCTCATGAACTGAATGAAGTAACTGAACAAACTGTAATCTATTTCTAGTGGGTTTGATACTTCATTAGATGCGTCATTATTTTCAGACCATTAAGACAACTTGATTGGTGCTGCTTTACTGTCATCAAAAACCTTTGAAAACCTACAGTCTGTCACTACTCAAACAACTCCAGCAAACTCATTAGACCTTTATATTTCATGAGTGAAGTGGCAGAAACTCTTCAGACACAGAGACACTTTTAAAAGCTAACCAAAGGAATGTTACTATAATAAAAAAATGGTGAGGTTCTTGAGTTTGTAATAGTCACTTTAAGATCTTGATGAAATATCCAATATATAAAAGCCATTTTTTCTTTAAAACATCTCAGTTTTTACATCATAAAAATTAAAAGAATCCAAAAAGTCAAACGATTTAGTGAAGCTCTTATTATACAGGGTGAACAAAAAAGCAGAACTGTAAGAACATTAAAAATATTCACATGAGAAATAAACAGTAGAAACTCACACGATGAAGCAGTCAGACATTCAAAGCCTCTTTTATTTCATGAACATCTACATCAAAGGAAAATGTGACATCATCTCATCGTTTTGTTTCCTGTTGCACCGAGCATCAGTCGTGCTGCATTATTAAGACCCCTGCTCGCCTGTTTGTGAGTTGAGTTCTCATCCAGGTTGTGGTTTTGTCTAGTAAATCAAACAGAAGTTGCACAGAACAAGGTTGCTGGTTAGCTTGTAAAACAGATTACTACAACAACGAAGCTTTGGATTGGTGTACTGTAGTATTCACTGTGCCATCTTTGAACCAGAGGTTGTTTTACTGAAGCATCTTACAGTCTGACAGATATTGTAGCCAAATAGAGCCACAATTGCTTCTCCTGTAGAAAAATTTAAATGACACTAACTGAAGGCAAGCCAGTGTAGTCGGAGGTGTCCATCACAACTTAACAAGCAGAATAAAGTTACAGAAATTCAATATTGTTTTGTAAAAAAAATAAAAAAATAAAAAATAAGTGAGGGCGAGGGAGGTTTGAATAAAACAAGGATGATATACTGTATGGTGACACATCATGTTATGGTGACAGTATTTTTGTCATTGTCCTTATAGTTTTATAGTTTCATGATTTTTTTGTCATCTCAGCATTAAAACGATGATTAAAAACTACAAATTTATTTTGTTTTTATATGATCTAGTTTGTATTTATTTTATTGTGATTAATATTAAACAGCATATTTCCTTTTTGGATTTTGCTTTACTTTTCAATTTAGCTTAAAGCTTTTGTAAATTAAAGTTTGCACTTTATCACGGAGGTGAAGTGGAAGTCATTCTCTTCCTCATGGCTTTTCCACACTTTATTAAAGTTTTTATTTGTTGACAACAGCAGGTGAAAAGGGGACTTAATGTTGAATGAATGAGCTGTAGGGATTTAACCAAAGTCAAGGACTTATTTATGTCCTGTTGAGTCTGTTAGTGTCTGATTTAACATCAATAGGATGTGGTTGTTTTCTGATTCTTTCTGTATTTTTTATTGTCTATTTCGTGATTCCCTTTATTTTTTAATTCATTTTACGCCCCTCTACTATCTTTTTTTTAAACCACTGTATGCTTTTCCCACTGTCCCACTGTTATTGTTCCTCCTTTTATCCCTTTTCTAATGTCAGTCATACTTGATGTTTCTCACTGCAAGCTGCTCCACATCTTTTACCCAACTGTTTGTGTCTTTCTCAGACAAAAGACTTCTCATCTGGGCTTGATGCCAACCAGGTTAGCCATTCTCTTTTGCTGCATCCCCAGGAGGTTTGAGATTAAAAAGAAACTGAATCTCTTTTTCATGGAACCTATATGCCGAAAAGACAGTCGGCTGTCTGGAAAAGTGGGGAGTGGTCATCAACTGTTTTTCTCCCCCCTTTTTAAAGCCTAACCAGGTTTTTTAGACAAAGTCAAGTTTTGGAAATACTGAGTTTGAGAATTTGTAACTATATTAATGCGAAAATGTGTCGATAATAGTTGTTTTTGATGCATGAAGAGTAGATGGTCATTGAGACGAGAACAAAATAATCAATGTAACATGGTTGGGGTAAAAATGCAGTAAATATTCCTGACTTAATGACTGCAGAGCGAGAGAGAGAAAGCAATATGGCAAATTTTTTCTCAAATATTGGTTTCTTTTTTTCCCTTATTGAACAAGTATTGAACCACTGCTCCATTCTGCACAGCAGGGGATTTGCTGTTATCTAGTGTACTTTATGTTGGTTTGCTGTATTAAAATTTAAAAAACAGCAACTACAGCTATTTAAATAACTAGAGGAAAAGTTCCAGACCCAAATGTTGGCTGTTCTATAGTAAGCAGACTACAAATCTATTTTAATCTCCTCTACTCGAAAATGTTTTTATGATTTTTACTCAGATTTTTTTAAGTAAAATGATTATCAGTGATTAAAAAGAGGCTGTATGAGGACACACGAGTCTGTGAACTATATGCCAGCAAGTATCCAATACATAAATGAGAGAAGTTATAAGTGTGACCACTTTTAACTTAAAAAAAGATACAAATTGATTTATTTTGGATTATATATAAAACATGAACGATCACAATGACCCATATTTTATTGTTTTCCCCTGAATAAACAGGAGCCATGATTCTTCTGTAGGCAGTCACTTTAAGTTTAAAACTTGTTTCATATATTTTGCCCCAATGATAATGTTATTTTTTCTTGATAAGACACTTTATTTATAATAGCTAATCTTTATTTTAATCCTTTTTCTAGATAGATACAATTCTAATAAAAAACATGACTATTTATTTAACAGTGTAAAACTGGTATGTATAAAGCTTGTTTGTCCTTCAAAACAACATTTTATAAACAAGATCACACACAGGGATTTGATGAATATTTGTTCATAATTGTCTTTGACTAATGCTGGGGCTGATGAGGCCTAACATAGTTAAAAAACGTTTCACATTTTGAGGTTGGATTATTACTCTCCTGTGGCGATTGGACGTAAGAGTGTGACAGAAGAGAAGACGGAGGGATAAGAGGAAGGACAAAATGATTAGTAAAAAGGGACAGTTGTTGTTGGAGGGTGACTTTCGGATGTTTTTCTGAAAGTTTGTGATCCAGAGGAAAGGAGTACACGCACAGGAAACAGATACAAATAAAGTGAGAGACGTACACAGATGGAAACCAAATGTTAGAATAAAGAATCTGAAGGAAAAACAGGGAGATTTGCATTGTAATCCAATGCTGAATGCTGCCTTTATGAGCGATAGTTAAAAGGACACCGAGGCATGAGTCTCTGTAACCATAGTAACTCCCCCGGAGCCCTGTGACGGATGGATAATGGAGTGAGAGAGGAGTTCCTTTTCTTCTTTATACCCCTCCCACTTGTTCTCACTTTCATTTCTCTCTTTTGCAAGTTGTTGGATTCTCGCACCTTGCAGGATTTATTTATTTTTCTTTCATGCATCTGGTCCGGTCTTTTGAATTTTTAACGTTTTGTTTTTACCTTTATGCTCTGAAGTTTAAATATCAGCCCCACAAATGTTGCTGCAAACAACTGTTGCTACAACTGGCTGTTGTTGCCTACCTTGAGTCACTTTCATGGACTCTCAGAACTTGTTTGAGGATTGTGTTTTTCTGTGCATCCGGAAAACTGTTTTGCATTCACACAAAGAAAAGATGTGCTCCAAAGGTTCTGTTTCAGCTCGTGATTCCTTTGTCTACATTTCAGAGGCCGTGTTGACAAACCATGGTGCTGCCCCCGAAACCAATCACCCTGAGAATATGCAATGCTTAACAGTAAGTAAACTAAAACCATTATTTGTTCTCAACTTTATGTCTGTATTTGTTTGCAAAGCAGCTGTGTGAGTGGATGCAAATGAGCTTAAACAGCATAAACAATGTGAAAAGTCTGCAGATGTATATAAGTATTTCTGATATGACTGTCTTTGATGGAAGTCTTTAACCTCCCCTTTGCTGTTGTGTGCTTCGTATCTTTTTATTTATTGTGTTAGCATGTGTGAGCTCACCGAGTGGTTGGGTCTATTTAAAACACAAAGCAGTTGACCCATGACATTGCATTGTGTCCAACAAAGTCGTCACGCAAAAGCACGCCTTCAGTAAGATTGTGACAGCACAAATTCCACGTTGCACATTCTCAGCAGCCGTAGCAACTAATTGAATTATGCGTTCGAGCTTTGAGCAGTGAACGGAGCAAGAAGTGTATTTTCGAAAGACAGTGTTTGTCAAAAGGCTTTTGTGTATGTGAAGCAGAAAATGAGAATTGTGCAGTCACAAAGAAAGAAGCCAGTTTTTGCTTGATTGTTGTCCAAACCTCAGTCTATCTGTCTTATTTCTTCTGTACATTTTGTGAATTGTCATTCCCTCCCAACATTTTAAACCCTTCATTACTTTATAGTCAGTTTTCACATTGTTAACTGAAATGATGTCAAGTAGTATTTTAAAAAAGAAATAGCAATAACTGCATTAAGGGATTTATTTGGTCACTATTGGCTTAGTGGGACTTATAATAAGAACAGAAATGTATGAATTCACAAAAATCTTTGTGGTTTTATAAAATAAGAAGTGTCTAAACTTGAGTACAAGTCTGTCTTTCTGCTGTTCCCTTCAGGGCTCACCAAGTGTCATCCACCTCCATGTCCTCTCTAACTGCATCATACATCTCCTGTTTGTCTTTTTCCTGGCAGCTGCATATTTAATGTCTTTCTACCAACACACTCACTGACACTCCTCTCCAAACCATCTCAATCTCTAACTTTATCTCCCAGGTGTTCAACCTGCTGTACCTCTGATGATCTTATTCCTAATCTTCTCCATCCTTGTCACTCCGAAGGAGTACCTGAGCATCTTCAGCTCTGCCACTTCCAGTTCTGTCTCCTGTCTTTTTGCCACTGCTGCTGTCTCTAATCCATGCAGCATAGAAGGTCTCCCTGGTCTTATAAACGTTTAATTTGATCTCTGATGTCACCCTTTTGTTACAAACCACTTCAGAAACTTTCTATCCTGCCTGATCTCTCTTCTTCACCTCTTTATCACACTCTTTGTTTTCCCAGGCAGTTGACCCTAGTACTTGAGGTCCTGCAACTTTGTGACCTCTAAACTTGAGTAAACATGTTAATTCTTAACATACTGATAGAGTAATGTAGGACTTCTCATCAGTACAGAATGTATTTTTCCTATTAGTTTAGAGTTTTAGTGCTCCTGCTGTTCTCTGCCTTGTTGTGTTGCCACATTAATACTGTATAGTCACTTTTGTTATGTGACATGTAGGTTGCAGCCAAGCTCTTAAAAGGAACAGTGCATGCACGTCTGTTAAACAATCTGGTAGAGCTAACATGTTGCTTAACTTGTGAGTAAAAAAAAATGCTTTATTGTGTCTTGTAAGCCTGTGTGGGCTGGGCACCTGTTTTGGTGCATGACGCAAATAGAAAATAAATTTACTACTACTACTATATATAAAAGGGTTTTGATTTGATTTTACATTTTATTTTTTAGAATTAAAATAATGTAGCATTATATTTCAGTTTATATATGACAGCTTAGCATTTTATACATAAAGTATTGCTCACCATATTAAACACAATGCACACAACTGCTGTGTCCATTGTGTAAGTTAAATGTATTTAGATGCGTCTTTGTTGAAAGTTGGATGAGAAAAGCTGAATTGTACGTAAGATGTATTATACGCTCGCAGCATTTCTGTATTGCAGAGATGATTCAGCTATTTGTCAAAGATGGTAGTTTTGTGGAACTGGTAATGCTACACAAGGGGAGGATGTTATAGCATTTATTGTACCACAGCCTATTAAACAATATTAAGTAAGGATGCCAAAAAGCTGCACAGTAATTCAATCTGGGCTGTTGCTCAATGAAACACAGACAAACTCCTGAGTAAAGGAAACAAGCAGCTTCACCCTTCTGTGTTTTTTCACTCTGACCCTTATCCCTGCAGACACTCACTCTGTCACAACACCACCCGGCTCAGCTGCTGTCAGAGGCTTGTACCACCAAACTCCTAATCCATGCATTTATTTTCTTTACCCACTTTCCCTTCCTGAGTAGCAGGGAGCTGCATGGCGCCTGTCTCCACTAGTCAGTGCAAAAGGTGGGGTACTCCCTTGTCAGGTGCACTTTACAGGTCTATTTAAAGAGAAATGAGACACAGCTAATTCTAAAATCTATGTAACAATAAAAACAATTAAAAATACAGTTATTACACCACATACTGTCTTTAAATGGTGAAATTCACTCTCAGCTAGATGAATATTACAAGCCATGTAAATAAAAACTCCACCAAACATGTACTGTAAGTGTAATTCATTTCTGTGTTAACATTCCCTCTAAATATTGCCAAACCAGGTAGATTAGATTTACCTTTATAAAAAAACAAGATGCTGATTTGTTTGAACTGTCAGTTGAACCCCTTTTTTATTGACTACCGTGACTTTGAAACACTTTTGTGTTGCTTCATGGCATCACTCCAGGACGTGAACTGTTTGAAAAGCAGAGTTCACGTTGAGTTTTTGTGCATCTCACAAACCTTACTGTGCAGAATTAGAAAGAGCTCCTTCTCTCTTTGTAGGTGTGAATGTAGATTGTGCTCACAAAAACATTAATTAGTATTTTTATATTTTAGGTACTACTCTTACTACTTTTTGTATCTATCTAAAATGATACCATAAACAACATATTTGCATTTGTGAGAAAGTTGTAATAATCCTTACAGTGCCAACAATATAAACGAGTTGTCCTGAACTACAATTTTTAGAAGGTAATTACAGAAAAATGTTTCACGTCTGCATCTGTGAATGGTCCTGTCCCCTCCCTCCTCCTGAATCAGTGAAACGGTTGTGCAGTTTGTGAGGAACAGTCACACGGGAGATTTAAAGCAAAGAAAAGAGAACATATTCACAGACTAAATTAGGGACGAATGCAAAACCTTTTAGACTTTCGCCTCTTTTCTCTTCTAGTTTTTGTTGCCTTGTACTTGTTCCCTTCCGGACCACTGAGTGTTTTTGTCCCTCACTGCTGTGTCCTCCTCCACCTCGTCGTCCTCTTTTCTTCTTCTTCCTTCTCTGTTCCCTGTCGTTTCTTTCTCTGTCACCCCATGGCCATAACCCCAACTAGACAAAGAGCTGTGTGGTATCATCTGCCCACTCTTCACCAACTTAAACATATTTTAATGTTTGATGAAGGTCTTCTGCATTGATCATTTAGATATTAGTTTTGTTTAAAATGTTGTTTTTACTAAACCAGTCACCACACGTAATCATCTATTTATCAATAAAAGAAGCAGCCTCTTCATGCTATTGACAGGGGGCAGAGAATTTGTGAATATTAACAATAGTTGCACCCCTAGCATCACTTTGCTTGTCAGCTGGCATTAGCTGCTAAACTGCCTGTGTGGAAATGGGTCTGGCACTTCTGTCTGTCGCTGTAAAGATGAGAAGGAAGGATGAAAAGAGGTCTGAAAGTCTCGATTTAGTATCTGGTACCTCAGGATTAGAGATAAATGAGAGGTTTTAGCCTTGCTGTGTAATCTTCAGTATTTTGGGACGTGCTGGCGTTGATTACCCCCATTTTCTCCGCATGATGCAGATTCTGTTTTTGGCTTTCTATCATGCACCCTCCTCTGATTTGTTTCATAAAACCAAGACAAATTCAAACACACCGAGTGGTTCAGTTAGAAGGAGGAGTGCCTCATTCTTAGAGCGGTTTTGAACTCCACCTTTTTGTGTGTATGTGTGTGTGTGTGTGTGTGTGTGTGTGTGTGTGTGGGTGTCAAATACATATTTTGTAAGGGACTTCATTCCAATCAGTTTGAAATTTGCTCTAGAGATGGCAGTATTGGTCTGTTAGCGAGTCTGGTCCAGACTGAAATAACATCATGACTGCTCAAAGTATTGGGACAGAATTTCCAACAGTTATTCACATTTCCTTCAAAACAACCCTAATGAGTCATGTTGTGTCAAAAGAACCAGATGTACCATTTATTATTCTTTTGTTGCAAAAAAATACAAAGTGGATGATGGAATTGTGAAAAAACCTTTACAGTCATAAATAATAATTTATTACAGCCACTCTTACAGATTGTTGGCCAATATACAACATTTACACAGGCTTTTCAAAAATACTGAACATCCATCATTTTAATTACGGGGACAGATCTAACTGATCAGACTGTTAGGAGGTGTTGTCGAACACTGGTACCCAGTGGGATCATTTTTAATAAATCTATTCCTTGAAGTTTTAAAATATATTTTGCTGACATTTATTCTTTTATCATAGGATAAAATTTTTCATATTTATTTTTATTTACCATTACTTAACCAGGCAAGTCCCGTTGAGATCCCAGATCTCTTTTTCAAGGGAGGCCTGGGCCTGAAGGCAACCTATTGTACGTTTTTAGGGGTGGGGGAAACCGGAGTACCTGGAGAAAACCCACACAAGCACGAGGAGAACATGCAAACTCCACACAGAAAGACTCCAGGTCCGAACCAGGGAATCGAACCCAGGACCTTCTTGCTGTGAGGCATCAATGCTAACCACTGAGCCGTCGTGCTGCCATTAAAAGTGCTGTATATCAAATAAATATTGTGGTTAACTTTTTTGTCCTAATAATAAGATGGTTTGTTTGTTTTTATTGATGAGAACCTTATCGACCAAATTCTTTTCTTTCATTGCAATCTGTAGTCACTGTACCCTTTTTTATGACACTTAAAGGTGTTTTTATGTTTAATCAACTATTGTAAACCAAACTCATTGTTGTCATGGTCTGT